ATCGAAGACACCTGTTTCAACTGATCCTTCGGTGGTGCATGCTATAACATACACCTCAGAAAAGGAGCAACTGGAACAGAGTGCTCCCACAAGCGTGAACGTCTGTGAGCTCTGCATCTGCAGTACTGAGACCTTGTCCTGCGTTGGTCTCAGCCCAAAGGAGAGGCACTGCAGAGTGCCTGTGCCAGAGCCCAACAGCTACAATGGCACCTTCACCATCCTGTAAGTATTGCTTTTCCTTGTTTGTTCTCTGCATCATGCCTGACCTGGCAGCCTTTCTTTGAGGTCTTCCTGGGTCTTCCTCATCTCCCCAGTTCACACTGACTGACTTTGTTTTTACCTTTTGTCTTATAAGAAATTTCTTATCTTCATTCGCCTTCTTACTATCGTTCCTTCTTCTCCAGTCTTTTGAATTGTCCCTACTCTTTTTCTTACTCCATTTTTTAGTCCATTATTTAATTTCTTAACATCTTCTCTTCTCCCATTTTTGCTCCATCCTCATTGCAGCAACCCATACCTCTCCCCATATCATTGGTGGTAATTCAACAAAGTGGTTAAGAGTAGAGATTCTGGAGTCAGACTACCTGGGTTTGAATCCAGATCTGCCATTTATTAGCTTTGTGACTCAGTTTCCTCATCTGGAAAGTAGGGATTATCATAGTCACCAACCATCTCATAGGATTATTGTGAGATTTAGATGAGTTAATACGTGTAAAGCTTTTACGTCAGTGCCTAGCATATATCTGAGTGTTAGCCATTATTATTATTTGATCCCTCAATTACACTAAGAACTCATCTTTACCCCCTGGATTTCTATGTATAGCACCCATTTGATGCCCAACCCAAGGCTAAGTACTGTGGGAGCCACAGAAGTATGGCATTGTCTCCAGAACATCACAGTGATAGGTGGGAAGAAAGGGGATACACCTTAAAAGGTAGGTGATGTGTAATTGAGTATTAAAAGATACAGAGAGGCGCTGTAATTAACCAGAACCTGGAATCACTGGGGTGTGGAGGTCAGGGGAAACTGCATGGATAAGCTAAAACTTTCACTGGAACTTAAACACTGGCTGTGATTTGTTAGAGTAAAAATAGGGAATAGAGTCTAGGGAAAGGTGTGGCTGCAGGAATCACGAGGATTTAAGAGATCAGTCTAACTGTGAAGAACTGGGTTAGGCAGCAATAAAGATATGCTATGAAAAACCTTGACTGTCACAAATGAGGGTTTGAAAAATATGCTATAAGATGTGGGGAGCCATTGAAAGTTTTCAAGGAAAAGAGAGAAATGATGAAAACAAGAAGTTTATTTTAGATTCCATATGTAGTGTGATCTAGAGAGGAAGGTTGGATTCAGGGAGACCAAACAGAATGCTGTAGCAAAACCTAGGAGGAAAGTGAGAACGGGCTGAATTAGCGTGGTTGTGACAGGAGGAGAAGGAAATCCTAAAAGCATGACAAAGGGAAAACTGACAAGGTTTACTAACTGCCTAGAGTCAGGGGATGAGGTATACAGGAAAGAGAAAAATCAAATATGTTGATGAGGAGAAGGCTGGTGGTACAACAGGTGGACATACAATTGGGAAGGAGAGCCACTTTGAGGGACATGGGTTCAGTTTTATTGATGAATATAAAGCAACCAGAAGGCTTCTGTTTGAGTGGAAATGTCCCATAGGGAGGTGGGCAGACCAGTATCTGTTTTGACTGTTCTGATCCTCCTGAAAAATGTGCATATAAGCCAGATCGTCGTTGCTGAGGGAAGAGGACAAAGCTAAAGGTAAAGATTCAAAGCCATCCACGGTTAGTGGTTGAAACTGAACCTCAAGCATTTAACAGCTTCTTTTAAACATGTGTAATTCATGGATACATTCTCACTATGTAAAAGAAAGTGTCATAGAAGTATGTACAGGATAAAATGTGAAATTCTCTCCCCACCCTCCCTCCCACCCGTAAGATAACTATGCTACTATTTTGATGTGTGTCTTTCCTTCCAGGCCATTTCCTTTGCATTTTTTCCCCTAATGAGGTAATAACTTTACTCATTTCTCGGTGACCTGTGCTTTTCCTTATGCGGTATGTCTAAGACGTATTTCCATATTAGTCTAATTTCTAACTGCCCTTATCCTTCCAATACCTTGAGAGATTTAGAGGGCACTGAGCCAAAGCTTTGGTGTTACCTAGCATAAGATTT